AAAAGAAAAAGAGAAAAGAAAAAAAAAATATGGACGAGAGGGAAAAAAAAATTGCATTCGCCTTTGAGTAAAACTTCTGGAGAATCAATTTATAAGCGAATCTCGGACGTGTACAAAAGCGACAAGATTTTTATTGATTGAAATCTAGTAGATAAATTCTCTTAAAAAAAAAAAAAAAAAAAAAAAAAAAAAAAAGGAAGAAAAAAGAATAAATAAACATAAATAAAATGAAAAAAAAAAGAACGAAGAAAAAACAGAAAGAAATAATAATAAACAAAACGGAAGAGGAAAAAATTGCGAATAAAGTTTGTTCACTTTTGTTTATCAACCTCTTGCACGATGTATATTTTCTTTTTTTTTTTTTTTTTTTTTTTTTCTTTTTTTTTTCTTTTTTTTTCCGTTGATAAAAACTTTGTTGTTGATAAATCGTCTGAAAAAAAAGGAAAAAAAAAAAGAAAAAAAAAAAAAGAGAGAAAGAAAGAAAAATAAATTGGAAAAGAAGATTTCCATTTCTTTCTTCCCTTTTGTTCTATTTCTTTCTTTCTTTCTTTCTTTTTTTTTTTTTTCTTTTTCTCCAGAAAATCCATTTGCCTTATATCACTTCTGGGAACAATTTAAAACATCTTCATTACAAATAAAATGACATTGGTGTACGGTTTAATCATTAATTGTGTTACATAAATTCAAATGGCGCATTGCCAAGAGTAATGCCACGAAAAGAAGACGTTCTTCTTCTTCCTCTTCCTCTTTTTTTTATCTTTCTTTTTTTCTTTCTTTTTCTTTTTTCTTTCTCCTCCTCTTCCTTTTTATTCTTCACGGACAAAAAAAAAAAGAAAGTTACAATCGTTTCTTGGCGCATTAAAGTATCCCTTCTTTAAGAAACGCATTCGAGCGTGTTACGCGAAACGCTTCGGGTAGAGAACAAAGAGGATACATATGAGAGGGGTTTGGGGAGAAGTGGGTGGCTATAGAGGGAGAATGAAAAAGTATCATAAAAAGAATAAAAAAGGAAAATGGGAGAAGGAAGGAAGGAAGGAAGGAAAGAAAGAAAGAAAGAAAAGTAAGTTAAACGATGCTCGAAATAAATGAGATAGGAATAATCTTTTCCCTTTTTCATTTCCACGAATTCCCGTGGAAATGATGTAAGTACTTACTTACACGTTTATTTACTTACTTCGATCAATTTATCAACGGATTACAATATTTCTCAGGATAATACAATACGTATGTATATTTAAAAGACATCATACTTATGAATCCCGTTTCAATCCTTAAGCCGAAAATATCGTAAATATATAAAGGTTAACTTACTTTTTACGAATTTTATTTCGTATTTTTCTTTTTTCTTTTTTTTTTTTTTTTTCTTTTTTTTTTTCTTTTTTTTTCTTGTCGAGAGAAAGTTTTAGAAATTTCTTTCAATTTGAGAACAAATTTTGTCTTGAGATTATTATTATTATTATTATTATTATTATTATTATTATTATTATTATTACGAGAGATTATTATCTCTTTTTTTCTTTCTCTTTTTTTTTTCTTTTTTTTTTTTAAATAATAGGATATTCAGAAAAAATTATCTCTATCTGTCGTTCAACGTTATATTAAAATTTATTCCCGTAGAAAATTGAATATTGTTGGGAACAGAGCACACAGACACACACGTTTATTAGATTGCATGTACGAATATAAGAGAAATATAAATAAATAAATAAATAAATAAATAAATAATTCAATGAATAAATAAATGAATAAATAAATAAATAAATAAATAAATAAATAAGTGAAAAAATCTTTTATATGTGGAATAATAATGTATCTATCTTAATGTAGAAAAATTCGTATAAAGTAAGAGGTTGAAATTTATAAAATATTTGAGAAGCTTATATGTATTAAAAAAAAAAAAAAAAAAAAAAAAAAAAAAAAAAAAAAAAAAAAAAAACAAAAAACAAAAAAGAAAAGAAAGAAAATACTACAGAATAGTACGTAACGTGAAATTTCTCCCTACGTTCTGGCCATGCATAGCTGTGAATTTACGTTCTTCCATATCATATCAACGTCGACATTATTGTAATAAAATAATATCGTTTTATGATAATCCATCTCTCTCAATCTCTCAGGAATGTTTCTTTGTCGTATCTCGTCGAACGAACAAACGAGCAAAAAAATGAATGACATCAACAACAACAACAACAACAACAAATAAAAAGAAATAAGAACAAAGTAGAGAGATAGTCTCATGCATCGCGAGATTACTATGATGATAAATAATAACAAAACATAAGTATAAGTTAGATCTTTTTCCTTTTTTTTTCTTTACATATTACGATCACATATTCCCGATCTCGACCTCGAGAAGGAAAGAAAAAAAAAAGAAGAAAAAAAAAGAAAGGGACGGAAACGAGAAGAAGAAAAAAGAAAAAAGAAAAAAGAAAAAAGAAGAGAAAAAAAAAAGAAAAAGAAATGAAAGAAAGAAAGAAAGAAAGAAAGAAAGAAAGAAAAAAATCGTATCGATCATAATGTTATTTAACTGATTTTTTTCCTTTATTTATTTCCTTTTTCTTTCGATATTCAAAATACGAAACAAAATCGAAAGGCCCTATTACGAACTTTTCACTTTTGATCTGTGTAATAGTGATTGAAAAGAAAGGAAAAAAAAAAAAAAAAAAAAAAAAAGAAAGAAAAAAGAAAAAAGAAAAAAAATATAAAAAAGAAATAAATAAATAAGTAAAAAAGAAAGAAAAAAAAAAAAAAAGGCAGAAAGAAATAACGAAGATTCCACAGGAGTCCTTCGTCATTGTCATTGTCATTATCATTCTAAAACGTGGCGT